GAAGAGGCAGGCCCGAGGCGAGCCGCACGCCCTGCCCTTCAACGACCCGGTGTGGCCCAACATGTGGTACCTGGTGGGTATCTCCCCCCCATGCTGCCCCGTGAGGAACCGCTGCTTTACGGGGCTGGGGGGGGTGTTAATTTGCTTTGAATCAAATGTGTCATCAGTCTTTGCTCAGCCCAGCCGGTAATGAAAAACCTTAATATCAGCAAATGTGCTTGGCAGCAGGATTTTGAAATCATAAATTAATGCACAGGAGAGAATAGTTTAAAGTGTTTCGCCATCATTAGCAGCCCCTCGTTATGGTCTGCGCAGCGAAGGCTTGGGAGCAGCACCGCTGCATTGTACCCATCCAAGAGCTGCAACCATCCATTTGCAGGAAATGATCATTTTTCTCCTGCTTGCTTCATTGATCTGTATTTGACAGGGAAATTCATTGGAAATTAAGCGCAGAAAGGAAATGAGCACTTCAGAACCAAAGAGCCCGCAGTATTGGAAATGGAAGAGGAAAAGAATAATAGGGAGATAGCGTTGCCTGGATTAACTGCTGCTGGGTGGCTTTGATCAGGGGAGTCAAGTTATAACAAATCTACAAGTCATATGGCAGGAAGTGGGATGTAAATACATTTTCGGGTTGATTAAATGGACTCCCAGCCTGGCTGCTGGCTTAGATGGGCTGGAATGGGGTTGCAGCCCTTTTGCAGCTGTGTTTCCCCCACCCCGTAGCACTGCGGCGATAAAAACAGTCGCTGCAGGTCGGAGATGAACGTCCTGGCAGCCTGGCAGAGGGGCTACACCGGCAAAAACGTGGTGGTCACCATCCTCGATGACGGCATAGAGAGGAACCACCCCGACCTCCTGCAAAACTATGTGAGCTGGGGGGCTGGATGGGCTGGGGCTGGACGGGCTGGGGCTTGTCCTCACAGTGATTTATGGAGAATTTTAGGGTATGAACGCAGCTTAAGTCTATGTGTTGGCAGCTTAGAAGAAAAGGGTTTGTTTTTTTAAAGCTCAAGATGTTTTTAAGAAGGAAACAAAATCTTTAGACAAGAGGGTTTGGGGGAAACTCCCTTTGCAGCTGCCTGGGAAGTGGCCTCCTCCCTCCGGCTCACCAGGGCAGAGCCAAAAACCTGCACGAACCCACTCAGCCCCAGCTCAAACCCCGGATGGCCACGGCGGTGGGGGGGGACAGTGCTGGACCCAGCAGGATTTGGGGTTCAGAGGAGCTGTCCCTGACGTAGAGGGATGTTCCCCCTGGGAAACACGCAGGGCAGCAGCCCAAAACTATTTATCCTGAGCAAATAATCGGAAACTAAGGGGAAAATGGCGTTTTCTGCCTGGCTTGGCTCTGTTGGGCACCGTGCCGGCTGCGGGTGAAGCAGGACCACGCCGCTGTGGAGGCCACTTTGTCCTGCACTGTGCTGGTAAGTCAAATCTAACGGTGGCAACGTGTTTTCAGGACCCTCTTGCAAGCTACGACGTCAACGGCAACGACCACGACCCGACTCCGCGCTACGACGCCAGCAATGAGAATAAGTACGTGATGCCGATTGCCGCGGAGCCTGTGGCCGTGTGGCCGGGGTGTGGGGGAGTCCCCAGGGCTGGGTGTCCGCCCTGGGGTGTCTTCCAGGTCCGTGGCCTTTCCCTGTCCCCAGCACTGCCAAGGACGCTGCGTTTCTGGCTTTGCACAGAGTCATTGCACTTCATGCAAATCCAGCCGGTGGCAACCACGCTAATTGCTAACAAACCCATCAAATGGTGCACCCAGGGGTTCCTCGCCGTGGTCGGGGATTAAACCACGTGAGTCGGGCTGGGTGGCTTAGGTGTCAAAGCTGGGACGCGCTTTCTGGGCTTCAAATAAAGCGGGGTGGGCACAGGTGGAAAGGAAACAGGAATGCAAAGACCAGGTCGCATTTAGGTGCAAGATGCAAGGAGCAAGTTGCATCGAGGTGCAACAAGCAAAGAGCAAATTGCATCTAGGTGTGAAATGCAAACAGCAGATTGCGTTTAGGGGCAAAATGCAAGCAGCAGATCCCTTCCTGCATTCATTTCCTCCATCCCCCAGCCCTTGCTGCGGGTTTTGGTAAGGGCTTTCCAGCTCTTGGGGCATTTTTCTTGTACTGGCTGATTTCCGAGTGCTGGGTTGGAGGGATCCTTTGCCACGGGACGTCAGCTCACGGGGGATTTCTCTTCGCAGGCACGGCACTCGCTGCGCGGGGGAGGTGGCGGCGGCGGCGAACAACTCGTACTGCATCGTGGGCATCGCCTACAACGCGCGCATCGGAGGTGAGGCTGGCGCCTGCCTGCGGCTCCCTTTTTTTTTTCCCCCCCCCGAAGGACTGCAGCCACCCTGGCAATGCCGATGGGCTCCTGGGGTGGGTGGTGGGCTGCTCTTCCCCCAAATATTGCCAGGAGAGAGTCTCCTCCTTGGTGCCCTGGCTGCAGGGAGCTCCGGCGGGGCTTGGGGGAGGATAGGTGACACAGCGTGCAGGGGACTCCCACTCCGTGTATTTTGGGGTGGAAAGCTTCTGCTTGGGCTGCATCCTTGCTGTGAGGATGCAGATGGCTTGAGGATGTGGTGGTTTCACCCAAAAATCCGCAGTTGCTCTCGGGGTGGGGCAGGCGGGGGCTGTCCTGGGGGTGGCTGCGTTTGCTGTGGTGCTGGTTTAGCTTCAGAGCTGAAATTGCTCGTTTGTGAGGTTAATGTCTGCAGATGAGGCGCTCGGAGCGGGGAGTCTGGGGAGACTCCCAAAATACCCTCATGGGGTGAGCACCAGGGAGGTGGGGAGCCGGCTGAGCGGGGTGGAGGGACCTTTGCGCAGTCCCTCGGCTAACACGGTGCACGGGAGGCAGATGAACCTTTATCACCAAATTGGAGCCTGATGGCAATTAGCACGGCAGAGTTCCCCTGCATTAGCCTAACTGGTTTGGAGGCTGGTTTGAGCGGGGGCTGCTCTGGCCAGCCCACGCTGGGGTGGGTGTGCGGTGTCCCGTCTGCTTGGCTGATGGGACCACGTAGGGGACAAATGCCTGGAGCTGTGTCTTCGCCGAGGGTTTTAGCCCCGTCCCTGGCACGGCTGGAACGGGAGATGGGTTTTTACTGCAACCCTTCCTACCACCCCAGCGCTGGGAGAAGTCACCGTTGGGAGCACGGACCCAAGCACCCCTGGGAGGGTTCAGGGCTTAATTCCTTCTCTCGGCTTGTTCATCCTGGCCGTGCAAGAA